ATGTAACAACAACTGTCAATCAAGAGGAAAATTGTTGAGATATGAATAAAACATAACGTAAACGTGATGGCTAAATAATTGATATATAAATCATACGTTCACTGTGAATATTGAATGGGAACGTGCCGTGATTGTATAAAGACGGCCTCTGTCCTACCGAGTTCTCACATAGTCTTCTTCGCGAGTTTTGTCGCGGTTTTTTAACCGATGGTTTGTGCGGTAACTAGTCTTGGTTAGAAGTGTTTAACTTTCTAATATTCCTTTCTGGTCATACGCTGTGGAGATAATTCAAAAGGCGCACTCTTGGAATTATAGAATTAGTCGCGCTGCCAGGTTGGGCAAAGAGGTTGGAGAAGTTTTCGATTGCGAAGTACCCGATTGTGGTGCTTTTAGTTCCATGCAAAGGATTCCACGTACGTTGAAAACATCACTTTAGGCGACACTTTTATATCACAAACTGGTAAGATCGATTTGTCTGTATTTAGAAAACTCTGCATTTAGAAATAGTCTTATGCGTTTCACTTACATAACTTCGTAGTATAATTCTTACACCAGCGTCATTGGAAAAAAAAATGAACAGTTATCCGAAACAAAAAATAACAAATGAAGGTAAAAGTTAATTACTTTATTTTTAAAATCATTTTTTTAGATCATAAATTTTACAGCTCTCTATGGAAACGAGACTTCATCACTTGCTTTTCGTTTATTTACTTTGGTCGTTTTAACAATGAACTCACTCTGTTCTCATGTTAATTTTTAGGCTGTTAGACAGAAATAGAGTAAGAAATTTCTTGAGGAATTGTTCAAAGAAGCAACATAGAATTGGGTTTCAACCCAACAGGAAAAAAAGATTTTTCGTTTTACCATTTCCTGACTAGGATTAAACCTTAAATACACCTGAATAAATTTTTTGGCAGATTGCCATTTCAGCCCTAAATTGTAAATATTTCATTTGGCTAAATGATTCTTCAGTTTCCTAGTTGTTGTCATAATATTTTTTTTTTGTGTGCACCGTGACGGATACAAACTCGTTGTTTTGCCCGTTTCAGTCGTCAAATCATCCGCTTGCAGGCTTGGGTTTTTGCTTCACTAAAGCAAAAAGAATTACTGATATAAAATTAGAACGCTTTAATAATAACAAATTTCCAACAATGCAGAATTTCTTCCAGGGGGGAGACTTTTTTTGGTGCTTATTTAATTGATTGGCAACATCAAAACCTGCATAATGAATTTAATATTTTATTTAAAATGACTTGACAAAAAATGTACTCTAATCAAAGTCCTTTTACCGAGTATTTAAAACATTATTTTATTCAGTATGCTTTTGACGTAAGATTCAAATCGGTTGGTCGAAAACCAGAAGGGAAACCTACGTCATTGTTTTAGAGACTTTCGAGAGTGGTTCAGAGTGAGAAACAAAAACTTGGAAGCAGTTGTATTTTTATGGAAATCAAAAGCGATGCATTCAGTTATCCTTTTGATAGAAATGTCAAAGGTTCGAGACAATAGATATTAGCTTTTTCGCAATGAACAACTTGGTCAAACTCTCAATATCTATAGCATGTTAAAGCTGGAGTTTTACGTAGATTAATTTCATGACGTTATCTGACAATTCCTGTCGCTTTTACTGTCTTACGAGCGAAGTAATTGAAAGTTTAATATCTGGCGACACCCACAAAAGTACATTAAAAAGATAAGATAGGACAGATAGGAAAGTGTGATATTTGATATTTGAACTGATAGTATTGTTACTTAGCTTAACTTGCAAGAGCCTGGATCAATAATACTTATTCTTTATTATCGCATGGTCTTATGGCCATTCAATGACCCTTTAAGAAAATCTAGCTTGAAGATAGGTGGAAGATAAACATCGGTTTCTTGCGTTCGACGTAAGGAGAACGCATCTCATAATCTTGGGCGTCTGTGCCAGCGGTAATCCTTTTCTTCGCTCGTGCACCTTTTAAAGCTGTGTTGAATTTTAAAGTCCTTTTTTCACCTGACACTAACTGATGGACGGCATAAAAGCAATCCCACAAGTAAAAAAGAGGCCTTAGCTTTTGGGTCAGTTTTTGCCATCTGAAAACTTCGTGTCATGAGAAGAAATTTTAATTTCATTGTTTTATGAGGTCTTTGAGTGATTACAACTCGCTTTCAAGAAAAAAAAAAAAACGCGATGACACATGTTTCCTGCAAAACAAACTCAGGCCGAAAACGCACTCAATAATCCGCGGTTACTCACTAATCGTAATTCAAAATCTGGGCTCGGCTTGTGGCGGTAAGAAATATGTAACACTTAAATTCAACGTGTAAGAACATTAACGCATTGTTTACATAGTTTGTTACGAGTAGATTATCACAAGATATAAATTACTACCCTCAATAATAATAATCATTGTTGTTATTATATTTATTATTATTATTTTAATTATTCTTATTATTATTGTTATCATTAGTATCATAATCATCATCATCATCATTATCGCTGCTACGAAAATGTCACTGCACTGGTTCAGACTTTGTCGGGTTTATTCTATCTTGTTCAACTGATCCGTCAAATGTTGGCGAATTTTTCCGGAGTTGAATTCTAAAGGACTGTATTCAGTTGAGGAAAAGAAAAAGAAAGCCGTCGTTTTCTTGTGTTGACGTCCTCCACAAACGTGAAATTAGCCATTTTCACGTCGTACGTAGTCGTGCAACGACGGCAAAGAAGTGTTCAAAAAAAGTGCGATGCACGAGCAAAGTCGTTGTTTTGCTAACCTAATCCGATTGCTTTTTTGCCGCTCTTGTTGCTGTCGCCGTCTCGTTGCTCAAGCTCCCTGATGATGTGAAATGCCAGCCGCCTCTTCGCCCTATTCCCAAAGGGGGCCTGGGGCCTGGCCGCGCGTTTGGGGGAAGGGATTGGGGCAAAGAGATCGCTGACGTTTTAAACAATGAGTTAGATTCTCTTAACACGGTTTTGACCGTACCAGTTTACAAATACAGTGGAACCCCCAAAATAACGAACTCCGCTATAAATAAGATTCGGGTTCCAACAGAACGCGATATAACGTACCTCCGTTATAATTACAACGAAAACATTTCTCAGTTTCTTGGCGCTTTGTTCATAGACTACCAGCAGTCCCCATTTTTCCTCAGGGATAGTAGAGCAAGCGAAACGCGAGCGCGCGTGAAAATCACCCCACGCGAGAAAAGGGGACACGCGGCGCGCTCTAAAATGGGGACTACTCGTAGTCTACTTTGTTCAGGGGGATACGATGAAACGTGGATAGTCCGACAACGAGATCTCTGGCGATCTTTATTATTTTGTCAGCCTGTTTTGTTTAAATTGGTTATTTAGGAACATTGTTTTTCTTGCCACAAATCATAAGATAATTTCCGACTGAGAATAATTGGTAAGCCAGGTTCGCTTTATTATCATTTTCAGGGGTATCTTGTAAGTGAACGAAAGAACGCCAATATAAATCCATGAAGGAAATCATTCAGAAAAACCCAATAAAATAACACAACATATTTTTTAGAAAATATCGGATAACCAGGATGTTTTTATAGTCAAGATCAATGCCCAAAGACTCATAAAAGAAAATACAATTGTTTTTATTTCTTATTCCTTCACTTCTTTTCAACAATATAATTAATTTTAAACACAGTTTCTTATGAAAAGAGCGTAGGAAAAACACGTTTGTTCAAACAAACGAAAACAAGATATAAGAAAGCCTAAAATACATTTACGTTTCACCTGTTACAGCCTTAGTTCTTATATTATAATGAACGAATGTTCAGCAACCGATTTCATTTATTCAACAATTTCATTTGTTGCCATAATGAGCCTAGATCTCTATATCTTGAGCAATACTTATATTATGCATCCCGCGAAATTTCCGCTTGAAAGCAGCTACCTACCTTTCAGGGTGTTTACATTTCACTTGTGAAGTTACATTGCAAAAGTAAACTGATATTAAACCAAACTGACGCAGTCCTACTCTCGAGTGGATAAAGGGAGCTGCATACTATTGTTCAGCTCGTGAATGTGCGTTCGCGTCACTGAATTAATACAACAGCGTTTCAATTCACCAAATCATTTACAAAGGCTTTGATCAAACGATCATTTGTTTTGCGGTAAGTAGAACTGTTAGACTTTCAATAATCCTGAAAACAATGCCAAACCTTAATTCAGGACAAGTTAGTCTCCGCAGAAATCAATGCCTTCTTTCTCCGATCAGGTGACAAGATTTTGTGACAGCAAAATTCCGCGTTAGTACAAAATTATGTGCAAGTAAGTCCTAGAAAGGCCATCTTTTACAAGCTTAACAACTTCTTATATTAATTTGCCCATGAAAGCTGTCACCATATTTATCTAACTTCATGCACGCGGATTGGACCAACATGTAAAATGCATATCATTTCATAAGCTTATATTATGACTTTTCTTAACCATTCCATTTCTTTAAAATTCTTTTATTAGGTTTTGATGACTTAATTCAGGCCTACAGGATCACGATAGCGCTCTGACATCAAAGCAAACTCATTCTATCCTCTATCCATCTGAGCCGGCGTACAGCCGGACTAAACGCTCATTTCCATTCTCACTAATCAGACAAATATATTTTTTCCATCGTCGATAAACGATTCCCCTGTCGGGAACTGTCAGAAAGGCCCATTATTTAGCTCACCTTGTTAATATAAAAGCCTGCAGGCCATTAAATATCGGCTCCCTTTTGGGTGGCTAAGTGACAGCTGGACTGTATATATATATATATCCGAACAGGAACAATAGCCATTCGTAACAGCATTGGCTAAAGCAGAAGATATATTCTCTGCCTTCTGCGACCCAGTTAGAGACAACAGAGAAGTTTTTCATTCAAAACTGATCTTCTTTGTGGTACTATTTCTTCACTACATCGCTTGCCATCTTCTACAAGAATCATGAACAGTTCACTGTCGACTGGAAATTCCTCTGATGGCATCCTACCCGAGTTACGCACCTATCGCCACATTGTGCTTATGTCTGCGATCATGTTATCTATCCTCTCGCCTGTAACGGTGATTTCAAATGCTTTGCTCTTGACTGCGATTTACCGTGATCCGCTGAAATGTTTCCGGACGCCCATGACGTACTTCATCGCTGGTCTTGCTGTGGTCGACTTGCTGACTGGAGCAATTGTGGAACCGTTGTTGGCAACATACTACTACGTGGATTTCACGGACTTCAAGACGCCTCCGGGCGGGGCTTATCAATTGCTTCGCCGAATAGCAGGGATTATTTCTACAGTAACAATTACCATGTCGTTTTTTATTGTCCTAGCGTTGTCAGTGTGTCAGTATATCGCAGTGACCTACCCACACCAGTTCAAAGAAATTATATCTAAAAATCGAGTTCTGGGATTCCTCACTGTAAGTTGCGTATATATTACAACATTCTGTATGCTGCAATTCACTGGGATCGACCAATCAACGTATCTGAAGCTAGATCTGATAATACACCCTACTCTCATATCAGTTATATTGGTGATGGTACAAATCATGCTATTTACGTCATTCAACCGACATCTTCAACATAGTAACACATTACGTAAGAAGTCATCTTTGAATCATTCTATACAGAAGAGGGCCTCTTACAAAAAAAGACTCAGCGAGCGCCAATTTACAGTCATGACACTTTACCTAACAGCTATCTTGCTCGCTTCGGCCTCTTTGCACATCATAGTTCTCTACATTCATCTCTTCAAGGAGCCAAAGAGCGAGGTAGAAAACATAAACATTCATATTGGTCTCCGTATTAGTGATCTGATGCTGTTCATTAAGGTTGCGGTGGATATTTTTATCTATGCCTGGCGGCTTCCTTCTTACCGAAGAGCTCTTCAATGCACGTTTTTTGGGAACGCGGCAGTCGCACGGTCGTCAACTTACCGCAAGAGTAGTGAATACGCAACCGCTGGACAAGAAAATGGGCGGCGAGGACCTGGGACTGAAAGTGCAACACTGTGACCTCTGTTAAACAGCAAAACAGTCCGTTTTTACGTAGTCAATAGCACACGTTCGATATATTCTGACATGACTCCGAGGCGTTAGGGACAATATTGCAAATTTTTAACGACTACATCGTCTCGCAATTCCCATAGGAGACTTGAGCACAAAAAACCAAACGAAATATAGAAAAATGGCCAGAAAGCCTTGGAATCATGTTAGAATTTTAATACATCGAACGTAGGCTATTGCGCGCGAACGGTCAAACAGAAGGTCTGGAGCGACGCTGAAAACGCAGAGCGAGAATGGGGAGATGCCCTTTGCGCATGTGACACTCTGACGCTGCGTCTTGAAAACGCGATATTTTTGAGAAAACAAAACCGACTGCTTCGCAGTCTAGACCCTTGTTGTTGATATCTGTTTTGTCATTTGGAAAGTGTCATTCGCTTCGAACCGGCGGAAAGTCAGTGCCAAAAAACAACAGTCTAATGAGAGGGTGATAGTGAATTTGATGTATGCTACAGGGCAAATCGAATGGCTGAAATTGGCCGGCACGTGTTACTGAATTCCTAAGGCAAATGTCAGAGACGTAAGAGCAGACGAGTGCAAACACCACAAACATCGTTGAAATTTAAGGAAAGTGACTCTTTGATGTAACTCGGTATTTGTAGTGCTCTTTCTCTCCAAAAAAGGCCATAAATCCCCAAAACTCTCCTTGTTAGACATTTTCAGTGTACGAATACTTACCATGGTAATGCTCTTAAAGCATTCGTACCAACGATTCCGATGTGAATCTTTATTTAAATCTCGATGTCATGTATTAAACAGATAATGATAATATTTACTACCAGTAAAATCCCTACCCTTTTTATATAAGTCAACCTCGTTACCAGCGCCCTCTCACGTCTCCGAGGCCCATCTTGCTCGCTAGCTAGAGTAGCCAATCAGATTCATCCATATAATAATACCAGATCATGTGATATATTACCAAGCACTCACACAACAGTGCGTTTGGGGGACCTAACAGTACGGAGGCCCATACTCTTCCAAATTTTATTCAGAAGAATTTTCTTTGATCTGGTGATAACTTTTATCCCGTGATAACTTTATCCCGAGACAACATTTTTATCCCGTGATATTTTCTTATCCCGAGATAATATTTTATCCCGAGATAATTTTTTTCTTATCTCGTACCCAGATCTCACTCTGTTTTAGACTGAAAACGAGATTAAATAGTTTCTTATCCCGAGATAAAATATTATCTCGGGATAACATATCATCACGAGGTAAGAAATTATCTCGGGATAAAAAATTATCTCGAGATAAAATCTTGGGATAACATTATTATCTCGGAATAAGAAAATATCAAGGGATAAAAATGTTATCTCAGGATAACATTATCACGGGTTAAAAACTATCACGAGATAAAAAAAGAAGAAGAGTATAAATTTTGGGATGGGACCTATTGGCCACCGTTCTAACCTGTGTAAATCGAGCCGTCCTTAAGGTAACATGTTGAAATAAACAAGTTGAAAAAAATATTTGCACTCATACCAAGAAATTTGACGCATGCAAGAACGTGGTGAAAATAATGTGTAAGATGTTTATATTTAAACACTTTTAATCTATTCTCCGCACATTTTTATACATTTATACTTAGTATAAGGTCGGTACACACTAGGCGACAAGTTGCAGCGACAAATTGCTACGTTGTACTGGAGAATTTTTGTGAAAATCTTTTTCGCTGCAACAGAATTTTGTCGCCGCAACACAGTGGCAACAAGTCGCACAAATAGGCCATTTGCACTAAGAGGTCATGTGACATCATTTTTATGAAAATGAAAGTTATATGATTTTGCTATCAAAAAACCATTAGTGGGTCATATCTTAAACAAAATAATAGTGACTTAGTTTTTCAAACCTGCACCATTTTTTTAAAATGAGTAAGTTCGTAGCTGGTCACGTGACCAAAATGTGATTTTTAAAACTATGAATTACCTCTTTCCTGAACACAAATTTTGCACTTAAACTTCAAGGAAATTGTTGAAAAGATGATGTGGCAACATTCTCAGCACATCTGAACCTAACTACCAAACGTTTCACAAGATAGAAGCAAAAAGTAGTTTTGGCCAACATGTTGGAGGGCAAGAGTATGCCCTCCAACATGGCAGCCAATAGAAATCATACTACTTTGTTGAGAAATCAAAGTGCTATAAAATATCCCCCTTAAATGCCTTTCCTCTCAAATTTCGGGTGTAAGATAATTTTTATGCGCTCTGTCAATTTTTGGCATCAGCAAGATTCCAACTCATTGTTAAAAGGAAGCATTGGTCACGTGACCTCTTAGTGCAAGTAGCCTACTCAGTCTGATTTGATTTGTTGCGTCATGCTACAGCGACAAAATTCTGTTGCGGAGACAAAGATTTTCACAAAACCTCTCGAGTACACACGAAGCGATTTGTCGCTGCGACATGTCGCCTCACCGTGTTGCTGCAACTAGTCGCCCGACCTGTACACATGGAGTGATCTGTCGCCGCGACGTGTTGCTGCAATTACCTGTCGCCTAGTGTGTACCGACCTTAACTGACCTCAGTGAAATTTGGCCATCTATTTATCTAGTACCAAGATATTTTTTTATTTCGTGGGAATAGCCCGAAATCCACGTGAAAGTTGAACAACTTTGCATGAACAAGTGAAAAATAGAATTAGCATCAGACACTTTCTGGCTATAGTTTTACCGCAGTAAACCCTGGTGTATAACATATCATGTCAGTATCAGTATATAGAAGGAAAACTGTTCTCCTTTAATTACGTTTGCATATTTGCTCCTTCATTTCCGGATTTGTCTGCAGTTTTGAATCAGTATCAAGGAAATAAGGACCGTATGATCTTTTGAAATCTAGGGCGAGGTTTGCGTTATATACATGTCAGTGTGAATTTGTTCTGTTTGCGCTATCGCTAAATCTTGCTCAATGCTAGCCTGTGTACAGACATCCCTCCTCCCTCAGAAAAAATCGGGGGAAGATTTTTTCTGAGGGGGAGGGGGGGGGACGTCTGTACACAGGTTAGCTCAATGCGTGCTGTTTTTCGTTTTTAACTTTTATTGCGGTTTCGCGGTTTTCGTCAGTTTCTATTGCTGTACATTTGAGTTTTTAATTTCAAGTGTTCCTAAAGAGGTCGACGGGGACGCCACCCTCCCCCCGCCCCTTGCTTTACCTAACGCCTGGCTGGTCCACCGCTAATTGCAAAAAATNTTTAACTTTTATTGCGGTTTCGCGGTTTTCGTCAGTTTCTATTGCTGTACATTTGAGTTTTTAATTTCAAGTGTTCCTAAAGAGGTCGACGGGGACGCCACCCTCCCCCCGCCCCTTGCTTTACCTAACGCCTGGCTGGTCCACCGCTAATTGCAAAAAATCAAAAAGAAAGTTTCCGAAGTTGCATTCAATTCCATCCGATTTTTTAAGTTGTAACTGGAAACCGGATAGATTTTGGCCATTGTTCAATTGTTTTCAACATATATATTGCCCTATTGTTCAATTGTTTTCAACATATATCTATTGTCATATTAAAGCTCCTGCTGATGGCTGAATCGCTACACCGGGTCAGTCGTGCGCTTTCTCATTCCTTGTCTCAAATGGTCGGCTTGAGTTTCTCTGTCGGCAACAGCCGATCTTTGGAGGGTTCTCAATAAAGGACAGAATCAGTATATCCACCAAACCTTAATTTGCTAAATTACGACAGAGACCAGTGTTTATGCATACTCATCCAAAGTTTTCTTTCCTGTTTTTTTGTCTGCGTGAACTTCGGAACTGCCCCGCCCCCACTCCCGCCCTCCATCTTGATTGACAAAGTACGTGCCCCTGCGATACGTATTGTGGTTGAAATTGTGGTATTTTTACTTTCCCAGGTAGAGGACGGTCACGTCTTAATTTGAACTCGCATAACAAGCGTTTTTCGTTGTGCATGGTTGTAAAATTAGCTAGATTCGTCCAAAATCTTGTGAAAATCGTTGTCTTTGCAGCGTTTCTGATCCGCTGATCATCGTTACTGCATACTCAGTTCCTCGTTGTGACAGGCGCCAAAGCAAAATAAGAATCCTTGGGGAGTTTCGTTCAGCCTCATTCGACGGAGATATTTCACAGGACTTGACCAGCTGCTGACGACTGGTAGGTGACTATTTCTTTTGCTTTTGCAACTTACTGTAGAAGGACCGTTTGATCGCAATGTGCAGCAAATCTAACCCTGTTAAGACTTACTCAGTAATATTTAAAGTTTATGTCTTGAAGACACAATTAACGCACAAGAAAATGACTTACCAAGTTCGCTGCGGGATCTCGCTGTTGTGAGCTTTTATGCTTTCTATTTTTGTGCGTGTACTCGAAAATCTGCGCGTCAAATAGATTTTTTTAACACATTTTGCTATTTATTTCATTGATCTAAACGTTGTGCAACGCAAGCATTTTGCAAGGTCGTAAGCCATGCCGAGGCAAGCAAGATTGATTAATCGTAAACTCACCAAGAGAAGAGAAAGGAAAGAGAAGTTTCGCTTGGTTGTTTTCGGTTTTAAGTTGTCAAGCTTAGGTGCAAATTATTTGCACTTGATCATGTTTTCCACAAGGCTAGGTACGTGGACAACGTGCAAAACCAACTTAGTTAAGCTTCTGTTAACAATCCAAAGGTCACGGAGGGGAAAGACTTCCAAATGACCTTTTGTTGTTTTTAAAATTTCAGCTGTCCTGTCTGAGCAGAAATATGCCTATTTGCATGCTGTTGAACGTGTCGAAATACAGTATAATTTTTGTTTGTGATCCTGTCGGATCAAGTTTGTAGATTACTTCATTTCATTTGGGAATCCTCATTTGGTGGGTGTGATCTATATAAAATATGTTATGTCATCGTCAGAACTCGAAAATTGTGGTGCATTTAGCAGACTTTTAATATTGGACTATTACGACCTTGACACTGATCAGATCTGATCAAAACTTCTAGAAAGCGCAATAAAAAAGCGGAAATGTTAAAGATATATTTACAAATGTATTGGTATTGTATGCAGTAAGAAGCTATAAATATAGTTGGAGCTCTCGTTCAGATATTGGACAACGTCTGTCAATAACGTCTAGATAGTGGATGCAACACCCTCTTTTGATTCAGTCTTCTTTGTTTTATTTTTTCATTTAAGGCTTTTTAAAGTCATGTCTAGTTTTAAACCCGGATTTGTCCTTCTAGTCCTAACTCAGGTGAGTGATTTAAATTTTGAACATGGTAACATTAAATTTTTAAAACCTATATTTTATCTAACAGTTTCACATTTGAATAGTTTGGCGGAAGATTTATTTATAGTTCATAATACTCACTATCCTTAGAAGAGCCTTTCGAACTGTGCGTGGGTAACTTTTCTCATTTATTATATTTTTTTTCCTCAGGCTACTCTCTTGAGTGCTGGTAAGTATTTTACCATTCTCCATGTTGGTTGTTTAGTGTAGGCCACTTTCTTTTTTTTTGTCTGTTTAGCGTCATCTGACCGACTGAAATTTTTTGGCATTTTTAAAAAAAAAAAAGTGTCGATGTAGTTAAACCATTTTTTAACTTGAAGTAATTCTTTTAATATGAAAAATGAGCATAGTAACAGCATAGAGAGAAACAGGAACAAAAACAGATTGGTAAGATTGGTGAGTTTTTAGTAAATAACAGCTTCTTTGTTGAGCAAGCTCTCATTTATTTTAATTCCAGTGGGCGAGTGGGGGGGGGGGGGGG